ACCTTTGAAACTAGTGTAATTGGATCTACCACACAGAAACACATAAAGGGTACATCAAATTTGGTGGGAGGAAGCAGAATGTATAGGATCATTTGCGTGTGAGAAGTAAGTTTCTATCATAGGATTATCACCAATAGAATTCAGTATTCATTACTGTCAACATGGGATGCAAGAGACAGTTTCAAGCAGCTTGTCTGAACAGTCCCCATTCCACCACCTAAATACAGAGAAAGAGTTTGGTGCATTGCTACAAAACAAGGCAAGTAGAGATACAGTGTATGTACAGGTACCACTGAACTAATCATGTAACTAGACTAAAGGAACAAATTCATAGACACTCATATGTGTATACTGAGAAAACATCCCAGCCCAGTCCAGATCAAGTTCATAAGTTCGATATTAGCCCATCGGTCCGATACCATTCTATAAAGTCCTCTTCAGACTCATGGAACACATGTAATGACGCCGAATACAGGAAGATCACAGGTCAGTGGGTGGGAGGTCTTGTGGATCTTGTGGCATTGTAAGCATCTCAGCCCTGGCAGTGGTCTCCATGTGGTTCTTCACTAGCCTGGCTCCATGTGTGTTGTCACCTGCTATGTCTCCCAGGGAGTGAGCCTTGTCAGTAGAGTCTCCAAGGGAATGAGTGAGTGTCCCACCTCCAAGGAGCTATTTATCTCCTTAGGGCCTCCAAATGAGGTCATCAAGCTGCGATCTGATTGACATGCTAAACTCCACCTCTTCACTCTTAAGCCTCAAATTGACAACAGATTATGTAACCCCCACAGTTGGGTTAATGATTGTGGACTTCACAATTTACCCTTAACTGCACAAGGTACAAGCATGCTGGATTTAAAAGTAGGAGGGAGAATCAAGTGGTAATTCAAAATGGGAGATTCAAGAGAGTCAGAGTTCCCCTTCACAGAATATACAAGGATTCTTTTTTTACTGTGGCACAAGCTCTCTTTATTTATTAATTAAAGATCATTTTATTGGGGGCTCTTACAGCTCTTATAGCAACCCATACATCAACTGTATCAAGCATATTTGTACATATGTTACCATCATTATCTTCTAAACATTTATTTTTTTTGAGCCCTTGGTATCAGCCCCTCTTTTTTTTTAATTTAATGATTTTACTGGGGGCTTGTACAACTCTTATCACAATCCATACATCCATCCATTGTGTCAAGCACATTTATACATTTGTTGCCATCATCATTCTCAAAACATTTGCTTTCTATTTGAGTCCTTGGTATCAGCTCCTCATTCCCCCCTCCCCGCTCCCCGTTCCCTCATGAGCCCTTGATAATTTATAAATTATTATTATCTTGTCATATCTTATACTGTCCAACATCTCTATCACCCACTTCTCTGCTGTCCGTCCCCGGGGGGAGGAGGTTATATGTAGACCTTGTCATCTGTTCCCCCTCTCTACCCCATCTTCCCTCCACCCTCCAGGTATTGCCACTCTCAGTACTGGTACTGAAGGGATCTTCTATCCTGGATTACCTGTGTTTCCAGTTCCTATCTATACCAGTGTACATCCTCTGGTCTAGCCAGATTTGTAAGGTAGAATTGGGATCATGATAGTGCGGGGGCGGGGGTGGGGAGCGGAGAGGAAGCATTTGGGAACTAGAGGAAAGTTGTATGTTTCATTATTGCTACACTGCACCCTGACTGGCTTGTCTCTTCCCCATGACTCTTCCATAAGAGGATGTCCAGTTGCCTACAGATGGGTCTTGGGTCCCCACTTTGCACTCCCCCTCATTCACAATGATTTGATTTTTTTGTTCTTTAGTATATGTGCTGCCGAAGCGAGCACGATTTTTTTGTTCTTGATGCCTGATACCTGATCCCTTTGACACCTCGTGGTCACACAGGCTGGTGTGTTTCTTCCAGGTAGGCTTTGTTGTTTCTGAGCTAGATGGCCACTTGTTTATTACCTTCAAGCCTTTAAGATCCCAGACGCTATATCTTTTGATAGCCAGGCACCATCCAGCTCCTCCTTTTTTTACCTCCCTTCCTCCTTCTCCCCCTCATGACCCCTTGATAAATTATAAATTATTATTGTTTTCTTATCTTACACTGATCGCTGTCTCCCTTCCCCCACATTTCTGTTGTCTGTCCCCCTCAATGTGTGTGTGTGGTTATGTGTGGATCATTGTGATCAGTTCCCCCTTTCTCCCTACTCCCCCCACCTTCCCCCTACCCTCCTGATATTGCTACTCCCATTTCTGTTCCTGAGGGCTTTATCTGACCTGGATTCCATGTGTTGTGAGCTCTTATCTGTACCAGTGTGCATGTTCCAGTCTAGCCCAAAGTGAAAAGCAGGACTGGGGTCATGAAAGTGGAGGTGGGTGGGGTGTGGAAGTCTCCAGGAACCAGAGGAATATTGTGTGTATCATCAGTGCTATACTGTGTCCTGGTTGACTCATCCCTTCCTTGTGACCCTTCTGTGAGGGCATGTCCCATTGTCTACAGATGGGTTTTGGGTCTCTACTCTGATCCTCCTCGTTCTCAACAATGTTTTTTGTTTGTTTGTTTATTTTATGTTTTGGGTCTTCTGATGCCTGTTCCCTGATCCCACTGATACCCCGTGATTGCACAGCTTGGGGTGCTTCTTCCATGTGGGCTTGTTGCTTCTTTCCTAGATGGCCACTTGTTTAACTTCAAGCCTTTAAGACCCTAGACACTGTATAATTCTATAGCCTGGCACCATCTGCTTTCAGCACCACATTTGCTTGTGCACCCATTTTGTCTTCAGTGTTCGTGTTGGGAGGGTAAGCATCACAGAATGCCAGGTTGTTAGAACAAAGTGTTCTTGTATTGAGTAAGGGCATGAGCAGAGGCCCGAAGTCCATTCACTACATCAGTGTATTCCCTTATCAGTATATGTACCTAGCCCAATACCTCTATTTTTATGAATTAATGTATTTATGGTACATATGTACACACCTATGCTTATACGTCTATCCATGTGCATTAGCGAACATTTGATAAACATCTGATCGAGACGGAAGGGAAAAGCTCCCCATCATTCCTCCATCCAGGTAGATTGGAATATTCAGGATGTCCCACTTTGCCCTCCCCCTCATGCACAATGATTTGATTGTTTGTTCTTGAGGATGGTACGGGACCAGGCAGTGTTTCGTTCTGTTTTGTAGAGGGTCACTATGGGTCAGAGCCGACTCGATGGCACTTAACAAAAACAACAACAACATCCAAGGAATCAAACCACCAACAACTTTGTCTATAAATCGCTAATCTTTTATTGTTCTTTGGAGCCAGCAGACATAGCTTTGATGGTGGTGATGGCGTTTCAGTTCATCCCCCACCTCTCCTTCTCTTTACCGCATATGCCAAGTAAAATTTTGTTTTCTGCACTATTATAACTGTAATCATTTTCCCCTAGGACACTCCCAGACTGCAGACATGCAGGGCATGGCAGTGCCCATCCCTACATTTCCGTTTCCTGATTTCATTGTGACTTGAGGACATTCCTTGGGTCTCAGTGTTCACATTTGTAAAACAGAGATAAAAACACCTTTGCTATCAAGGCGATAGTTTGACCCCAAACTTAAAATGAGATGTGAACGTGCTATAGTAAAATGTCAAGAATCATGATGATTTGAGCATTTAGAAGGAATTGGAGTAAGCGATCTCTCAGACCAGGAGCCCTGGTGATGCAGTGAAGAAGTGCTCAGCCACTACTGTAAAGGTTGGTGGTTTGAACCTATCCACCAATAGGAGAAAGGTATGGCACCGTGCTTCTGTACAGATGTGCAGCCTGAGAAACCTATGGAGCAGTTCTACTCTGTCCTAATGGGTCATTATGAATCAGAACTGACCCGATGGCAACAGGTTTAGTTTTAGTTTTACATCATTGGGTCAGAAACTGTATCTTATCAGTAGTATCAGAATATCATTCTTCCCTATGAAGAAAGCCGATTTTCATTAGTTAATTCATTTTCATAATCAATCACAGAAGTCAAAGATCCAATCATGAATCCCCCCCCCAGTGAGACCAATTGTCTTTGCATTTAGCTTGTGGAATCTGTTGCAATGAATGCTTTATATAAACCCGGAAATGTACCAACTAATGGCTGCCCAGTGAGGCTTCAGGGCAAAGTACCCGGATGTACTTTTCAGCAAAACATACAGGGGAAAACATCTTTTACCCTATCTTTTGTAGTTGCTAATAAGCTTAATTTATACACACAACAGTCTTTTTTACAATTCTTAGCACCACAAAAAGGAAGTGCTTTTTCTTCTTCCTTAAAAAGAAAGTTCCAGCCCAAAACATCAGTCTCTGTAGGTTGTCTTAATTGCTACTTTGCACTGCACTTGACTATGACTCTGATTTTTGGCACATGCTATCATACACAAAGTTCCCAAAATAAAATGCTACAGGATATCCCAGGGACTCTTAGAAGGCTTTAAAAAGGGACTCACACGCTGAAAGACTATCTTTGATGAAGATAATTCAGGCCAGCTGAATTACTGCAAAAGAGTTCCTTGATGAACTGAGATCTTTCAGAATCCTTGCCACCTCACTCATCATGATTTGGGGAGTTTGACGAGAATCCAGTTTTGATAAAGACTATTGTTTTTCTCCTCCCCAAGTGACTATACATTTAAATAGCTAAAACATCTGTTCAGCAACATAGTAAAACATGTACACCCAGAGCGCCTGAGAGAAGAGCCTGCCAAGCAATCGGTTGAGAGAGACTGTGCTGAGGGGAAGCACCAAGGTAAAGCGAGCATTGTTTGTTTCGTCTAGTTGGGGGGAAAGCCAAGGCAACCAACATTTTGGGTTTCTTTTATTTCATTTGGGAAGAATTATTTGAGGGGAGCGCTCCTGACGGAAACTTTTGTGAGCTGTTCGTTCGTGGAAGAGCAAGAGAGCCGTGGATGTCAACCTCTCACAGACTCTCGGGACCAGCCACCAAACCACGAAAAGCGACTTTCTTCTAGGGTGCTGTCCACATCCCTTTCTGATGGAAGCAGAAGCGGGGAACAACGTGGAGACCGGGAAGCCGGCCAACAGAGGCACTCGAATTGCCCTGGCCGTGTCCGTAGCTGGCGCCCTGGTGCTGGGCACTGTTCTCTTTCTAGGTAAGTGTCGCCAAGCTGGCCCAGGAGAACTGGGTGTGTGCCGTAAAGCTTTGTGTGGGTTTTAACAAACGTTGTTCTAGTGCAGGTGTCTGGTTGTTTGCCTCCATCCGTAGGTGGTAGAGCCTCAGTTTCTATGAAGTAGGCAAGCGAAAAAGGCTTGTCTTTTAAGAAGCTACATAAATAAACACACACACCGAAGGCACGATCCAAAGCGTGAATTTGGGCATAAAGTGACTTTGGGTGGCTGGAGGATTCGAGTGGGGAAAAAAATCATTTATGTAGTCTATTTAGCAAAGTGACTGTTTATGAATTCAAGTCAGATACTTTCATGTATTTTTGTGAGGAAAACCGTGATGGAATGTCTTTCCCTTTGGATTTTGGTTAATGTTTGCCTGAACAAATCATGAAATTTAATTCGCAAGCTACAACTCAGTCCTGTAAAAGGCATCTTTAATGCTATTATTCGATTTATAATACAGCGACTCTCTGGTGGGAGGCAAAACTCAACTCTGCCTTTCTATTAGATTTAAAAGTTAATATGAGGGAAAACAAAGATTTTCCTCTCAAGATTTGAGCCGTATTTTGATTGAATTGTTTTAATGACTCCTGGTGCAAATGATGTACCCAGAGAGGATATATGATGGCAAAAAACTTACTCCCGTGAAAAAGAAGGAACTGTCTTAGAAAGGGGTGAGGAGTGTTCTAAACGTTTCGGCATTTTAAACTCGTGACTATTACTCTTTCCATGGTCCTCATTGTTGGTGTGTGCCGGGGAATCCATTCTGATTCGCGGCGACCTTTGTGACAAAGTACAACTGTCCCATAGGGCTTTCTAGGCTACCCAGCAGGTCACCAAATCTTCGCCCCCGTGGGTTCGTGCTCGGTGGGTTGGAATGGCCAAACGTTTGGTTCGCATTGTGTCACCAGGGCTCCTCCAATATTTATCACAGGCCCTGAATACTTCATGCGCTTGAAAGACCCTCTACTCAAGAGATTTTAGGTGCACTTTACAAGGTCGTGAGCCTGGAGACATTCCTTGGCATAGCCCGGATGCAGGAGGCCATGTTGATGTTGGCAAAGGAAAGCCAGTAATTAAACTTTAAAAGAGTTAGGGTTTTGTGGTTGAAAATTCTGCTAAAATGAGCAAACCATCTTTCCATGTTTTCTGTGGCTTAAGATTTAGGAAATTCGATGTGTTTATTGCTTGCTGGTAGAACTAAACCTCTTATTCTTGCAATGGAATTAGTGGCTCTTGAATGTTGCTGTGAGATTTAAATAAAAATGGGAAGCACAATTATATGGGCAAGCTAAGGGGGCACATGCACTGTTGGAAGTGACTACAAAGTTAGACTATGGGTTACAAACACCCCAAATCGGGGGTGGGGAATCACATGACTGTTGTCTAGCTATAGAAATACATATTCTTTTCATGCTTTTGCTACACGAAATCTTTTTGAAACTCCACTTTTATGATTACATGTGGAGGTCTTGGCATATTAGCTGGGATATTCTATATGGCAGCAAATTTTTGTTCTTTGAACAAAGACAATTCTTTGGAAAGTTCTCATTTCTTTTTAGAGCCGAATGCAAATTCATCCGTTGGAGGCAGTCATGGCTCAAAGGTGGGAGACTTGGATTTGATTCCTTGCCAATGAATCTCAGACACAATGACCACTTGTCTGTCATTGAGGCTTGTTTATTGCTGGGTGCATTGTAGTGGAGCTTCCAGACTAAGATAGACGAGGCAAAAAAGGCCTGGATCATCTGAAAAGTCAATCAGTGGAAACCCTACACATCACAATGGTCTGATTCCACTGTACACAAGGTTGCCATGAGTCAGGGGCCAATGTGACAGATGGCAGTGAACAATGTGACAGATGGCAGTGAACAACAGTGAGCAATACTTCTAGTACAATAGGTGAGGTACAATAATCTGACTCTTACCGGACTCTCTAAGAGGAACTCTCATGATGTTACAGAATAAGAGTAGATGAAGGGTGTGGCCTCCCCTACACCCTTGGTAACTCCAAGTGTGGGCTGTGGACCAGCAGCCTCAGCTTTGCCTGTGATCTCCGACTCTTCATTTCAGACTTACTGCTTCAGATACTGCATTTTAACAACAGCCCCTGGAAGTTCACTTGCAAGTTGTAGTTTGAGAAGCACTGCTTCCGCTGACCACATCCACTTGGAAGTTCAAGTACCCAAAGCAAACCAGTTGCAGATGAGTCCATTCTGACTGATAGTGACCCTGTGGGATAGAGCACCACTGCCTCATGAGGGTTCCTAGGCTATAACTTTGCAGAAGCAGACTGCCATTCCGTTCTCTCATGAAGGGGCTGATGGGTTTGAACCACTGACCTTTCGGGTATCAGCTGAGTGCTTCAACCACTGCACCACCAGGACTCAAGTCCACTGGCTTTTAATCAATGCATGCTCTTTGTCTTTGTCTGCAAATCTTCAGCGATCTGCCATCTGGTTAAGGTCTGCTTTCTGGGTGATTGATTTTGCGATAATGTTTTCTGCCCATCAAAGTTCAGTCACATGATATACCTGCCATTTCTAACATTCTTTCCATACCATCTCTTTGGATTTTTGGCTGTGAGATAATCTCTTTTCTAAACCTTAACCCTTCAACAGCAGGAGCCTTGAGATGGTTTCAGAGAACCCAGAGAGCTGAAATACCAAACATCGGGTTTTTTAAGCATACCTCCCCCTCCTCTCCTCCAATCTGCCTCCCCAGTGCAGGGATGGGCCAACATTTCATGCCAAGGGCCAGATAGCAAATATTTTCAGCTCTGTGCCCCACAGTCTGTCTTAACTACTCGACTCTGCTGTGGTGGCAGGCAAGAAGCCACAGATAATATGCAAACAAATGGGGGGTGCGCCAATAAATCGTTATTCTGGAGACTGAAATCTGAATTTCATCTAGTTTTCACGTGTCATGAGATCTTCTTATTTTGATTCTGTTCTCGACCATTTTAAAATGGAAAAGCCATTCTTAGCTCACAGGCTGTATAAAACCAGGCGTGGGCCTGATCTGGCCCATGGGACGCAGTTTGCTGACCCTTGCTCCGTAGTCATTCTCCTGCTCTTGATTTGTGGACTCCTTGACTGCATTATGAAGTGATTTCTCCTGGCTGTAGAGAAAGCAGGAAGGAGAAACCACACTGCTCTTTTGTTTTCTTAGAAAATCAACATTGTAACTTCTGGTATGAAGATAGGTTTGTTATTATCTCTCTCATTCATTTGTTGTCTTCACCTCATCTGGGCTTGCAGATTCTTATTCATTTTCAGGATCTTAAATGGCCCTCCATAGGTATCATGTTCTTTCGTGATGGGGGCCAGTCTGTCTGTGTCCCAATTAATTTAATGTCAACCTTCCTTTTACTCACCATCAGATAATAAAAGATTTGACTTTCGTTTTGCCTCCTTTGGAGTTTTGGGTCTAGATTTATTTTCCATGAAAGAAATGAGCCTTCAAATTAACTATTTCATTAGCTTTTAAAACAAACTCAGGCTAGTGTCAAGAAGCAATTGTGCAGAATCACAAAAAGAGAAATGATCATGGTTTAACGTAAAAAGTCTTTTTCCATTACAAATCAATAACCCATGTGCATTAGCGAACATTTGATAAGCATCTGATAGGAGACGGGAGGGAAAAGCTCCCCATCATTCCTCCATTCAGGTAGATTGGAATATTCCATCCCGGCAGTATAGTGAAGGAGCCCTGGTGGCATCGTGGTTATACATTGGGCTGATAACCACAAGGTCAGCAGTTCAAATCCACCAGGAGCTCTGAGAAAGAACGGTGAGGCTTTTTATTTCTGTGAAGAGTCATCGTCTCAGAAACCCACAGGGGCAGTTCTACCCTGTCCTGCAGGATCTCTATGAATTGGAATTGACTTAATGGCAGTGAAGTTTGTTTTTTGTTTTTAGAATCTTTATACCACACCCACCTACCCACATTTATCTTTTAAAAGAAATCAAAATGCAACTTTATGCCAAGACACTTAAAAAAATTTTTTTTGGTATCCTTTTATTTTTATTCCTCTCTCTTAATCCTTAGAACATTTAGATTGCTATTTCAAGCCACTGGGTAGATGTTAGAGTGCTTACTGCATTGGTCTTTTCCCAATGCATTAGAACATTACTTCTGTTCTAGCCTTCTTTTTAAAAAAATCATTTTATTAGGGGCTCATACAACTCTTATCACAATCCATGCATACATCAGTTGTGTAAAGCACATTTGTACATTCATTACCCTCATCATTCTCAGAACATTTGTTCTCCACTTAAGCCCCCGGCATCAGCTCCTCATTTTCCACCCTCCCTCCCTGCTCCCCCCACCTCATGAGCCCTTGATAATTTATAAATTACTATTTTGTCATATCTTGCCCTGTCCGACGTCTCCCTTCACCCACTTTTCTGTTGTCTGTCCCCCAGGGAGGAGGTCACATGTAGATCCTTGTAATCGGTGCCAAGACACTTTTGTTCCCTCTTCACACAAGGTCTGAAATGTTCCACAGGCAGTTTGCTTGACTTTCTAATGTTACACAGGTGAAAAGGCTGCTTGGGAGGGTGACAGCAGAGGAAAGAACAAAGGAAAAATAGGTCCTTGTAGAATGTGGGTATAAACATAATAAAGATCACCTCACTGGCAAGTTATCTATAGGCATTCCATCTTTATCAGAAATATAGGTCCCTTCTACAATGGGTAGTGGTGAGGATTGTACAACTCTTCTTTATATGATTGAACTAAAAATCCCTGGGGGCACAGTGGTTATGTGTTGGGCTGTGATCTACACGGTCGACAGTTGAGAACCACCAGCAACTCCGAGGGAGAAAGACTGGGCTTCCTATTCCCAAAACAGTTAGTCTCAGAAACCCCCAGGGGGTCACTGTGAGTCAGCATTGAAAGCAAAACACAAAAGGCAAGGAAGAGAATCATAAGACACCACGGATTTATTCTCTGCCTCTATAGATTTGCCTATTCTCGATCTTTCATATAAGTGGGCAATATATATCAACAAAAAAGAAAGATAGGCCCTGCCCAGCTTTCTCACAAAGGACACCACGAAAAGCCCAGCCCCCAGCCCCTCCTCACTGCCACATCTCTAAATGACTCTGGGATCCTGCTCCCAGTCAACAGCAATTACGAGTTCCCTATGATTTCCTTGGCTACCAAACAGATTTTGAAATCTAAACTTGTGACTGCTGATGAGCAGGCTGCTGGGGAGGTGACAAGCAGGACTCCTGTGTGCACTCCTGTAGAAATCCACCTTATGCCATCTGCTGCATGGGGGCAATGAAGCCATTGGTGAAAAGCGATTTGAGTTGCACAGGTTTATTTTTGGTTTTGTTTTTCTCTTTTTCTGTGGCTCGTGGGTTATTCTGTTGGCTGCTGTGGAGTAGATTTGAACGCATAGCTACCTTCTAAGACTGAAGAGAACTGTTCCCCAGGGTTTCCTTGGCTATAATCGTTATGGGACCACCAGGCCTTTCTCCCTTGGAGCTGCTGGGTGGATTCCACCCATTGACTTTGGGTTAGCAGCCAAGTGCTTAATCATTGAGCCACCAGGGCTCCTAAGAGGCAGGCTTTGCAAACTGGCATATCCCTAATGGGGAGAGTCTGTGGGCCTTTTGCTAGAGAATAAAGGCACATGAGGTCTTCTTTTGCTTCCCCCATTTGGAGGCCATATCTCTGTGGATGGTTCAGAGAAGATGCACAACTCACAATACCACATGTGCTAGCTCTCTCCTCTCACTCTGGATTTGCTCCAAATCAAAATGTTTATACTGTTAAGGGGGAAAAAAATAATCAAAGCATGGAAACATTCAATCATAGAGGGAACACTTCATTGTGCTCATACGGAACCCAGACATAGACTGAGGCAGCTGTTGGAACAGAACAAGGGAATACTGCCTGATTTAAACTCGGGCAACGTGTGGGTGTTAGGGTGGTATTGTTTTGCCATAATTGTTCAATCTGTATGCTGAGCACAGAATCCGAGAAGTCGCACTGTATGAAGAACACAGCACCAGGAAGGCTCAGTAACAACCTGCCATGTGTTTCCCCATTGCTCCGTCAGGCCTCCTTCGGTACCACTGTGAAAAGACCTTAATTATTCAGAGAACTCTAATGTTCCCGAATTCTCTTTTAAGGAGCAAGGCAAATTACCCCCAAATTAAATTCTTTGCGGAAGATAAACTCTGAGCTACTGCGGGTAACAGCTGTCTTTGTCACAAAGGGGAAGCTGTGTGACTGCAGGGCCATTGAGTCTCCACGATGGAACCCTGGTGGCACAGTGGATTAAGCGTGGTGTTGCTAACCCCACGGTCAGCGGTTTGAATCCACCAGCAGCTCGTCTGGAGAAGGATGGGGCAGTGAGCTTCCACGAAGATTTACAGCCTGAGAAACTGAGAACGGGGCTGTGCTAGACGGTCCTGGAGGGTTCTTTTGAGTTGGGTTTGACTCAATGGCAGGTGGGTTTGGCTTGGTGTCTGCACAGTGTTTCTGTGTAGCTGCTCTTAGGTGCATTTCGCATGGTTCAGGGACTCAGAGGAATTTGCTAATTTCTGTTTCTGAGTATCTCTCTTTTCACATTGCTTTCCAATTTTCCTGTCTCCCAAACAGTGATGTACCTATAAACACAAAGAGCACACTTATGGGGCTGCAGATAATCCAAGATGGACAAGACTTTAGGGATGGGTTCTCTGCCCGGAGCTCACATCAGCCTTCCTAGAGGGCTTGTTTTAACCCAGATGACTGGGTGCCCCCCTTAGCATTTCTGATTCGCTTGGTATGGTTGGTGGGGGTGGGGGTGGGGGTGGGGTGACCTGCCTTCCACCTGGCTCCTAAGTCTTGGTGACCCTGTGCATACCAGAACTCAACATTGTCCAGCCCTGGCCCTCCCTAAGATTGAGTGGGGCATCAGAGAGCTGTGATCCATCGGGTTTTGCCAGATTGATTTTCAGAAGTAGGTCTTTCTTCCTAGTCTTCCTAGTCTGTCTGAATCTGGAAGCTCTGCTGCAAACTGTTCAGCTTCATCCCATGGAGTCCATTCCAACTCACTGTGGCCTGATGAATCTGGGGCTAGACATCTATCCAGGAGCAGAAATCTCCTCTTTCTCCCCCCGAGTGGCTGCTGGGTAGCCGTAGGAAAACCTTCACTGATCGGTGCATAGTGACTGTGCTTGAGGTTCATGGAGAATCGAACCTGTTCGATAGCTTAGAAAATGTGAACATTCTCCCATTGAACCCTTACTACCTTGACCCTGCTCAGAGGCAGGGCCGGATCATTTCGATGTCTAAGAAACTCCCAAGTGAAGGGATACAGTTGCTGGCGCTGATGGGACCACGCTCTGAGAACCACTGGCCTAGTTATACGCACTCATTGTACACACAGCAGAACTGAGTGTCAGAGCAGCCAAGAGTCCTACGAAGGTCACTTAGCTGGTGGCCAGCCTCTGCTTCTGTCACCTGGGGCCAACTGGCTTTGTAAGCGCTGTATTAATATTTGGAAGGATGAACGGATATTGAGTGTCTGATGGTGGTTTACCTGCTGGTGGTCCGCTGCAAGTCAGTCATTTATTTTATTTTATTTTTCAGTGAGCCAAGGTCTCTTAAGTTTCCAAGCTAAACAGGAGTACTGCTTGACACCGGAATGCATCGAAGCCGGTAAGCCGTAGTTTTCCATCCTGTGTCCAAGTTCCATGCATGTTATAATTATGGTACCTTGGGGAGTCGACGAGAAAACAGGTGGTATTTTTAGTATTCTGTTTGCTTGAGGTTCACCGACTGCAAAATGTAAGTTGGATGCCATTTTAAGCTTACTTTTCAGTCTCGGTGTGGAGGAGGGGAGCATAGCTTTTCTGTTTTTGCACTCCTTGCAAAAACCAGCTGAGCCTGATTCTAGGTGTCACTGTGAGGAAATCAGGAAGAGATTTGGAAGGGGGAGGGAGAGCCATTCTTCAGATCTGTCCACAACAGAAGCACCCTAAATTTGTGTCACCGAACACATTGCTTGTGACCAGGTATGACGTGAATCAGACATTGGCAACCCCAAGTTACAGAGAAGGTAGCACGGTCGCAGCGGGGACAGTGCCAGCAGGCTCCCGAGGGCATTTTCATGTCAAGGAGATAGTACCAGAATCACAGCAGAATTCCAGGGGCTCAGAGCAAGAGAGTCCCCAACAACATGTCGTACATTTTCCAGTCAGACTCGGAGCGTGGTTGTTGCTCCTCAAAACTGGACACACAGCGGAGGGCTCTCTACCACCCAGGGTCTCCAAGTGTGGGCTGCGACTCCCTCGGGAGTCATGTAACTGAATGTGGAGATGGCGGCACATTTGACAATGCTGAAACGTTTCTGAAGGTACGACAACCAACAGTTCAAAATCAAATGTGTAATATATCCAAGGGGGTTCTCGCAGCGCTGCCCATTTCTCTAACACAAAGGGGTCGAGAGTAGAAAAAATTTAAGAAGCCCTGCCTTAAGGGAAAGCATTCCCTGCTAAACTGCTGAGCTGGCTGTAGTTCCACTGCAGGGTGTCTGTGGGGAAAGAGTTTCCTGAAGGCCCCAAGGTCAAAAGGACTTCTAAAGCAAGATGCTCTTGGCAGGTCACACCAATTTCAGGATCTCTAAAATCTGACTTCCAGGAGACTCAAAATGGTTCCGGTCAGACTTGAAGGGAGAGGTCATGGGCCATTTTGGGCCTCAGCTGGATACAGGTTCCTATTTCTCTTAAGCAGGCTTCCTATAGTTTGTGGCCTGTCTGATGTAAAGCAGGGATGCTCTGTAAACACACAGGCCACCATCATCTGGAATCCCTTTGGGTCACCCTATGCATTCTACTTCATGTTTCAAGTCACCCTTTATCTTCTTCTTCTTTTTTTAAGTGATCATTTTATTGGGGGTTCTTACAGATATTATAACAATCCATAAATCAATTATATCAAGTGAACTTGTACAGATGCTGCCACCATCATTTTCAAAACATTTTATTTCTACTTGAGCCCTTTCATATCAGCTCCTCTTTAGTCCCTCCCTCACCCTAGCACCCTTGTGAACTCTTAATAAATTGTATATATATAATCATGTCTTACACCATCCAATGTAGGTATCCCTTCAGCCACAGTTCTGTTATTCATCCCCTTCGAGGGAAGTTATGCATTCACCATTGCTATAATTTCCCCCCCTCCCTTCCTTTCCTGTACCCTCATGGAATTGTTACTCCCATTACTGTTTCTGAGGGGATTATCAATCCTGGAGTGTGCATGTTGAAAGCTCGTATCTGTACATACGCGCTGGGCTAGCAGGATTTTTGGGGTCAAACTGGGACCATGATAATGGGTGGGAGGAAGCATTAAAGAACTAGAGGAATGTTGTGTGTTTCATCAGTGTTATACTGCACCCTGGCTGAGTCATCCCTTCCTTGTGATCCTTCTGTGAGGCGATGTCCAGTTGCCTACAGATGGGCTTTTGGTCTCCATTCCCACCCTCCTCATTTGTATCAAAATGGTTGTCTCCACCCCCACCCTCCTTGTTTGCATCGAAATGATTGTTGCTTATCCCATTGATACCTCAAGATCACATGGATTGGTGTGCTTCTTCCATGTGGGTTTTGTTGCTTCCCTGCTAGATGGCCCCTTGTTTAACTTTGAGCCTTTAAGACCCCAGATGCTATATCTTTTCATAGCCAGACACTGTCAGCTATTTTCACCACATTTCTTTCTTTTTTTAAACCATTTTATTATATTATTTTATTAGGGGCTCATACAACTCTTATCACAATCCATACATACATCAATTGTGTAAAGCGCATTTGTGCATTCATTGCCCTCATCATTCTCAAGACATTTCCTCTCCACTTAAGCCCCCGGCATTAGGTCCTCATTTTCCCCCCTCTCCCTGCTTGTTCCTCCCTCGTGAGCCCTTGATGATTTATAAATGTTATTTTGTCATATCTTGCCCTGTCCGACGTCTCTCTTCACCCACTTTTCGGTTGTTTGTCTCCCAGGGAGAAGCTCACATATAGTTCCTTGTAATCCGTTTCCTCTTTCCTACCCACTCTCCCTCTACCCTCCCTGTTTCGCCACTCACACCACTGGTCCTGTAGGGATCATCCACCCTGAATTCCCTGTATTTCCAGTGTACTTCTGTACACTGTACCAGTGTACTTCATCTGGTCTAGCCAGACTTGCAAGGTAGAATTCGTGTCATGTTAGTCACCACATTTTCTTATGCAACCATTTTGTCTTCAGTGATTGTGTCGGGAAGGTGAGCATCACAGAATGCCAGATTATTGAAACAAAGTGTTCTTGTGTCGAGACCAGGGCCAGTGAGTTTGGTTTGGAGAGGCTAAAGAATTTGTCTAGGAACACATCCTGAGTTAATGCCACAGTTGGACTTCAAGTCCATGGCTAGCTCCTAAGTCTGAGCTATCATGCTTTATGCTAGGGCACTACTTCTTGGTGCCATGGGATCGTGCCAGCTAACTCCCTTTGACTCTGGTCCTGCCTCATTCTTTTGTTATCACACTCTAAAAGCTTTCGCCAGTGAGTAGGCTGGGGCAGCAGGAACAGGTATCCCAGAACTGCTTTTAGACTTTAAGACTCTATATCAGCCTGTGCTTTTGCTGTTGCTGAATTCTGGCGGATGTGTAAAATTCAAAGTGTTGTATGCATAAACTTTTGCTTTGAGTTTAGAGCAATTTTTACACACACACACACACACACACACACACACACGAGAGAGAGAGAGAGAGAGAGAGAGAAAGCATATTTGAAGGGTGGAGGGGTGTTAGACCTCCGAAGGAGCATTGCAGAGCATAGACATCGGTAGTCTTGTGGGTCACAACATGGGTGTCGCAGGACCTCTGCGTCAGAGAGTGGGTGGCGCTGCTCCTGTGCGTCACTGCGTGGGCGTGGCTGAGCATGGGCTTCTCAGGTCTGTGGATCCCAGATACTGAAGCATCTCTCCTGAGTTCCCGTGGTCCCTGAGCTGAGAGGCTGGGACCCGGTGAACACCAGGTGGTGGTGTCCCTCAGGTGAGGAGACGGGGATGGCGGTGTCCCCTGGGTGGCCGTCAGATGTGTGTGCTTGAGGCTGTCCAGGAGCGGGGGTCTAGCTCTCTTTTGCTTGCAGACAGCTGTGTGTGAGGGGCCTCTTCCCTGCAGGGAGCCACGACTCTGCTAGAGACCTTGGTGTATAGAGGGCCACTTATTTAATCAGTTTTGTTTATTATGAATCATAACAATGCAAGAGTAAGACTTTCAGAACTACATCTGATAATGGCGTCTTCTGCCAGCTAGTGTTTTGCCTGGCTGCCCTGTTTTTAATTTTCACATTGGAGAATGGCTTTCTAATGTTGGAAAAAAAAATACTGATCTTGCTGTTTCTGTAGTGAGACGCCAACCAAGATACATTACATTCCTCTTTTTTGTAACATGAGCCTCATGTTCCAGAGGTCTGTGGAACAGCTGTTAAGTACATGTCATCAGAACTGTGGCCAACCGGCTATCAACAGGTATAGTGTCTGGGGTCTTAAAGGCTTGAAGGTAAACAAGCAGCCATCTAGCTCAGAAGCAACAAAGCCCACATAGAAGAAGCA